CTACTGCTACTCCTACTACTACGACTACACCTGCCATTACGGCTAGGTATGGGTAGGATGCGGCTAGGCTACGGCTACTACGGCTATGGCGACGGCGACGACGACGACTACTGTTGCTGTACTGCTTGTGCTCATCGTCAACGCGTTCTTGCAGCCCTTAGTTGCGTTTTCCACTTCTACTCTAGTGTGTTGATGTTAAGCGACCACTGTGAATTCGTGATGCTGTCGGAGAATGCATTATGTCTGCAAGCAGACTGGCAACGCAGTGTCTTGTAGAGTTCAGGCCCAGATTGTGTGGGCCGAAAGCTCCTGATTCGATTGGAGGTTTAGTGCTTGGTACGGCCAAGGTCGCGCTCTGGGGCATTTCCTCCAGAGACCTTGGTTCGTCGCTGCCTGAGGCTGCTCAGGAAATGGCTGCCGGGACTTCGGGATGTAAGGCTTGAAGCATCTTTGAATTCAGTCCATCTCAGAGGGTAGTTATCACGCATCATGCGGATCCAAAGCTCTTTTCCAAGTCCTTTGTTGGTAGTATGTTTCATGGTTGCCGACATGTCGCGAAGGTTTGGCACCGCGACTCTTGGTCATCAGAAGCTTGATTGCCTAAAGCAGCGACGCAGCCGGAAATGAAGAAGCATCCTTGGCATTGAGGTGCTGTGTTGCAGCCCCCAAGTGCAAGGTTCCGAGGACGAGGCCGACTTCTCGGAGCTGGGCAATGGCATGCGCCTGACACTGGCGCGCGGGGCTCCAGAGTGTCGAGACAGGGCGCGGTGTTGCAGGTGGAGAGTTCCAAATGGTGGTGACGTGATGCTTCCGTCCTGCCTGCCTTGCTCATCAAGCCAACTCCGTGTACCCAAAAGTTCTAGGGCAGGGAAAGAGAGCAGTAAAAGCACTCAATGCAGCCGGGTTGCAATTGACCTCTGAGGTCCTTGAAGTGATTTGTGGCAAGCTGCACGAAGCGGTGCGCCAGAGTTGTAACGCCATCTGCCGGAGTGTGAGAAGATGCGGAGAACAAACAGCGGCAGCGGTCCGAACCACATCTGCCGAAGTTCAGAGCTGGCTTGCCTATCGACTTTACATGTCCGGGATTCTTCCACTTACAATGAAGCGCTTCGACTGGTTGCGGACTTGAACCCAAATGCTAGGGGCTGAGCACCCACGCCGGGCATCACTCGCTTGCAACACATGTGGTCTTGCCTCGGTCTGAGTCAGTTCAGCTGCAGACAACCTAGAGCTAAAACCTGCTTCGCAAGCCTTGAACGTTCGGCAGCTTCGTGAATGTTTGCCTTGCGGTCAGGAGGTTACCTTGACACACTTGGAGTCTTGACCCCGAGTCGAAAGCACTGCAGATGCAACTCCCTCCAAGCTCCACATCCCCACGGCCCCGAATCCCCAAGAACCCAGCTCTGGCTTCCTTCTGTTGGCCTTGCTCGGCTTAGCGATGGATGGCTACCAGGCCCGAGCAGACTGGGCTGCCTGGGGCTTCGGAAGGCTTCAGGCAGCTTTGTCTGTTTGTTTAGAGGCTTAGCCGCTTAGCCTTTCGCATTGTGTCAGTGACGGACAACCGGCTCTCGGTCCAAGTTGGGCATGCTCGGTGGTAGTGGCCATTAGCGATCCTTCTTTGCATGGCCCAAGTGCAGATCAGAGTTGCCGGGGCCAAACGCCTTTTCGCCCCCTACATCACAAATGCCTCTTGCTTCAAGATGCTTAGAAATCATGACGCCCCGCCGCCACCGTCAACTCGGGGATCCGTGTGGGATCCGGCCATTGACGTCACTGTGCAGATTGTGCAGGTCGTCGACTGGGGGTTTCCCAGAGCGAGGACACGGGCCGTTCTCATGCATGTCCGTCTGTCTTGGCGGTGGGGGCAGAAACTAGTCAGAATCTATCTGGAATGCACTACAAACTCAACACACTCGCAAATCCTGCAGCCTCCGCAGTTCGAAAGGTCCTGTGAAAATGCTGCTCTTGGAAACTTTTTTGCCAGGAGGCGCGGCCCTGCCACAGGCGCAAGCTGAGCTTGATGGTTTGGGCTTTTGGGAGCTACTCTGACAGGTTCTTTGGATTCTTTGGCGTGGAAGATCTGCTTCTTTACTGAACAACTTAGGCCTCAGTGTGGCAAGCTCGTGCAATGGGGGCCCAAACCCGCAAGGTCACAACAGAACGCCTTCCTGACACCCTGAACCCTGCAACGTGCAAGCTTCTCTAGCCCTCGGTTCTGGAAGACCTGTGGTTCACGATCTCGGGAACTGCAAACAATTCTTCGAAGAGTTACTCCTTGCACTCGACCTCCAGCCCTTCCCTCGAAGGGCCTGCGCAGCACCGCTCGGCTTCTTCACGAGCCGTCTGCCTCGACTCCGGAGGAGGAGCCTGCAAGCCCAGCCATGAAAAGCTCTCTAAAGATCCTGTGCCACACCCCCAAACCCTCAAGAGTCTCAAGGTGAGTTTTTGTCAGGCATCAGGTCCTCCGCCGTGTCGTACTACTTGTAGCATCTTTGAGGCTTCTGAAGCTTCTGGAACCGTTGCCTAAAGAAGGTTGCCATTGGTCTCTGGGGCAGCATGGGGAGAAGCATTGCTGTTTCATGTTGGTCACAGACTTTTCCTACTCTGAGCGGAACAAGGTTTCAAGTCATTGCTGGGTTTTTAGGAGCACCTCCTCCTGAGAGAGAGGTCTTCATCCTTCTTGCAGTTGCTCACATTACCTTGGGGAGAGCTCACGAGGCTCCGTAAGAATCTTCATGGGGTGAGGAGGGCAGCCCCACTTTGCCTGCCAGGAGAGCCCGAAGCAGAGACACTGCTTCGGCCGGGCCCCTGGCCAGGGCTGTGGCGAGTATAAAGTGTCGGGAGATTTTCAGGCTGCTTACAGAGAAGCTCCCTTCTTATCAGCCGCTAGTGAGCTGGCAGCTAGGTCCTCCACCTCTTGTGAGCCTTCACAGGCCGACTCTGCCGCCGCTTTCGCCGCTTTCGGCGGCGGCTATGGCGGGGCTTCCGGAACGAGGCCAGCTAACGACCCCGATGCTACAGTAACAAGGAAAACGTGGATCGATGTCTGTGGATCCTGGAGCCCTGCCCAGGTGAAGGGATGCTGTGGAAAGACAGTGACGGGGAAGGCCCTCTACTTCGTGGCCTGGCTAGAGCAGCATGCCGGTCGCGGCTTCGAATCTCAGATTTTGTGTGGTTGAAGGCTTTCGCAGAGGTGTCTTTTTTGTGGCGGGAGGCCAGACACCAGAGGCCAAGCTCCTGTGTAGATGCTTCCCCGCAAGAGTCCCCACAAAAGTCATTGGCAGCCCTGGGAATTTGGCTCCAGGTTGTGAGGGCCTTGAGGGGGCGTTGTGTGAGATGACTGTGTCACGTAATCGGTCGCGGACACCACGCGAGAGGGGGCCTCGGAAAGCCCAGCTGGAAGCGTACGCATGGCACTTCGACATGATCCACGATGAAGCACGCCTGTCCGCATTTCAGGGTGCCTTTGCTCGGCTTCCTGAGGAAGCCCTCCAAGGCGTCGCGCTGGATATCGGTTGCGGAACTGGGGTTCTGGGCATGTGCCTCCTGCGACAGAGGCCTGAGCTGTCACGAGTAATTGCTTTTGAGGCAGACCCTGCGCTTGCACGGGTTGCAGAAGAGAATGCAGCGAACAACCGCTTGGAAGGTAAGCTTTCTGTACAGGCTGTTCGGTCAACTGCTGTTTCATCTTTGGCAGATGCGGTGGACACGGTGGAAGCTACCTCTCCACCACGGGCAAGCCTGCTCGTGGCCGAGATCTTGGACGCAGGTCTGCTGGGTGAGGACTGTTTGCCGACTCTTCGCCACGCAGCTGGCACTCTTCTGCGCTCGAACTACTTCGCAGTACCCGCAGCTGCTGATGTTTGCGCGTGTGGGGTGGAGAGTAGCACATTGAGGTCCTGGCAATGCGTGCAGGGCAGTTGGTGGGCACCCGAGGTTTTTGCTCGCGATGCCGGAGATGCAAATCCGCATGATGTTGTATTGGGGAGGCTTGTGGATGCAGGAGAGGCCAGGATCTTGACCGAAGAGTTCAGCGCATTGTCCTTTAACTTTGAATCGCTCCCGCCTGAGTCGGGGAGGTGCGAGGTAATCACGGCAAAGGCAAGCCAGGCTGGTTGGCTGGACGCCGTGGTGTTCTGGTGGTACTGCCACATGGTCCGCGCTGACTCCCTGCCCACCATGACCAATGCACCCACTGGCGTGCCAATGAAAACTCGGGCCGATTCAATGCCTGCTCGCCCTGAGATCGGCCACTGGCGCCAGGCTGTCTCCCTGCTTCCCGGGCCACGCCGCTTCGTCCAGGAAGGGGAGGAGCTACGGCTATCGGTCTTCCACACCGACGAGGATGTCTGGTTCCGCATCGCCGAGCATGTGCCGAAGCCCATGTCTCTGCCACGGGCCTGCAGCAACCTGTCGTTCTTTCCTTCGCCGCGGCTTTGGGCACTGGCAGATCGCGAGCGATGGCACACGCTCAAGCGCGAAGTCTTCAAAGCAGCGCGGGGTCTGCAGCCACAACCCTTGCAAGAGCATGCAGGAATTCTCGTGCTCGACCTCTCGGACGGTCCCTTCATGAGCCTACTGCTTTCTGGGCAGCTCGCGGGCCGTTTCGCTCGCTTGGGAGCGTCTTGAGCTGCATTCAGCACGTTGTCCCTCTGAGAGACGCCATATCGAGCTGCTAGTGTTAACGTTGAACACAAGGAACTTGCTCTGTTTGGGAAGCTCTTTGTCTCAAGACGGCCAAAGAAAGATGTGAGGGCACGAGAGAGAGAGGGAGAGATATTGTGTTGTGAGTTTGGGTTCAATAAATGACGACACTGCCTGTCACCATGAAAGGGCAAACCCTTTTCATGGCCGGAGCCTCAGTTTTCAATGCCTATTCTGGACTAACTATTTACTGTTGGTCGTAGCCTTTTTGATGGATCGGCGGAGGCTCCGTTTTTCGATGTGCCACTGGCCAACAATAGCCTGCTGCGGGGAAGCTTCTATTCCATTGCACTTTT